GATTACATCAGACGCATTCATTCCCGGTTAGAGCGACGCTCGACTCAAACCACCGCTTTGAATCGCTTTCCAGAAGTATTAATTAGCGAAATTCTAATTAACGTATTAACACCGCGAGACAACTTACCAACATCGTATCGCATTATACCCGTCGCATAGGCGACAAGGCCGCTAGTTACGTCTGCTGCGCATGTCTCTCTCTGTCTCTCTGTCTCTCTCTAAATTCAATCCACCTGTTCCTTGCTACGGGATCAAGCACCGCATCAGTTTCGTTACGAAATTTTGTCGAAAGGTTACTGACGTCCCGACGCAGCTGCTCCGCGCGCCTTAATTGACCAAATTAACGAATTAACCAGTCGACGAAGTTTAAAGGTCGTTGCACACATAGCGACGCAGCAAACGAAACCCAACGTCGAATGGCGTTTGATACTCGTACGGAATATCGAAGGGACGAATGTACGATCGTCGAGGCATCGTTGCTTGCTCGTTGCACGCCCACGGCGTCTAAAAATGAACCGAGATTCGGAAAGAAAATTAGCAGGTGTCGTCTATCGGTAGGCGCGCCATTTTGTCTCGCAGGCACGTAACTCATAAATAAGTTACTCTTGTAAGTCAGGCGTACACAGACGCCACCGTAAGTCGAGGTCAACGGTACCGGTGTTGCAATCCCTTAAGGGATTACACCTGCGCGACGACCTAAAAAGCAGCACGAACCTTGGGAATTTTTTCGCGATAAAACTAACGGACACGATTTTATTCATTTCGGGAATATTTAAAATAATTCGAACTTCTCTTGCTTTCGTGTTCGCAAATTCAGCAATTACTTCATCAAAATTGATTGCTCCGACCAAACCGCATTCTATCGGTAAAGCAGCCAATACGTTCAAACGATTTTATTTAATCGAAAAACGTAAATAGTTTTTAATTATTTTCAATTCGCTGAAACTCCTCTTTTTGATGCGATAAAAATATTTCGAAATGCTTCGCGTGAATCGAATGATGCAACGAAATGTTGCAAAAAATACAATTTTTGGAGTCAGTCGAAAGCTGGCTTTCGTTTATGTTTTATTCGTAATTTCAAAGAAGTCTTATACTCAATGACAAAACTGATATTCAAAAATGTGGGTATATTGCATTTATTAGACAGAACTGCTGCTTTAAATTATTAATAAAATAAAAATATTATGAAGGAACAACGTCTTCTCGAGACAAACGAGCTATTTCAAAGGCTTTGAATTTAATCCTCGCTGCACGACAAATGGCGAAAGAAGCTGCAAGCTGGTGTTAATAAACATTTAAGAAATTTTTAACAAGTCACGGAAGAGGCAGACCACTTAAGGAGGCACAAGCGTTTGGAAGCTGGAGTACAGTTTGCAAAACAAAAAGTGCACTTGAATAAACGGTGGACAATAATTCTTTGACGAAAAACCTTTTAAACAGTCCTGATAGCATAACTATTTTAATGGCTCTAAAACAACTAATATTCGAAAAACAAAATGGAGAGTCACGTTCTAATGTAAGCATATACTAGATTGTATTTAATAAATTTCTAATTTATATAAGTAGTAACTCTGGATTAAAAATCAAATAAAAAAAAGGGGAAACATAATTTCGATCAAGTTTGTCACCGTCTAAGGATCCACAGGATTCAGTCGACGACCTCATAGTTTTGTCGTTGAGATTTCTTCGTTCATATTTCGAATTTCAGCGTCTAACGATCTAAAGATTCTTGAGGGTGGGAAGTGTGAGAAAATGCATTAAAAAATCGATTTTCTCGATTGAAAGATTTTGAAAAAAAGTGTGAAAGGTTTATCGACGGGGCCAGGGTCACTTTGTTGTTGTTTCTGGTCGAGGGTCGCGTCTCCCAGTGTCAAGGGACGAACGTCAGCGACAATGCTCGTTTTATTAGAAAGTTCGGGAGGTAGAGAAGCGGCTGATCATTATGCAGCTCGTGTTGTCATATTCCATTACCGTGGCTGCCGGTTACAGATGCGGCTGCCGCGGTTAGTTCGAAGAACAATTCACAATGCGATACAGGAGCCCGGCATCACCCTTCGACCGAGCTTGCAGATGACATCGATACTCGACTTCCTCCGCTGTGGCGTTTGCAGCCTCCGTTCGTCTCGCGCACGATTCAGCATCTGGCAAACTTTACCGGTTTCGACGACTGCGAACGGATGACACCTAACACGACCAATAGAACGTGCGTCGTCGCTAGAACCGCCGTGGCATTTGATACTGTTCGTTTGCTACGAAAGTCACTCGACTCGAAACGCGTGCAACAATTTTCCTTTTCTCTTCTTTGTCTTCAACGGCGACACTTTTCTCCCGCGTTCTGTCATTCCTTTGGACCATAGCAAATTAGGCTCTGTTACACCAGATGAAGAATATTTTTGAAAAACTAGTTCTTTAAATAACTGTCGATGAGGTCGATACATTGAACGAACTAATCAGAAATTTATCAAATCAAATATGCGGTATACAGAAGCGATTCGACATGTAATCGAACAATCTGACCACAGTGCCTGACTCGTTCCTCTTTCTAACATAAAAGCAGAAAATGAAATATCTTGAAATAACGTTATATATAATAAAAAAAGAAGAAACAAATATTTCGAGTGTATGAAGGAAGTGATTTAAAAAAATCGTTGTTTAATAATTTCGCTTGCTCGAGGGCCGTGCAGTTTTACAAGGAGATACAGTCACTGGCGGTCAGACGGCCGTTTTATGACGCTGCGAACGAAGCGGCCGAAATAATTTCATTCGATGAAACGAGCATTCGTTCGGTGAAGTTGAAACCGGGTCTGGTGAATGGCACTTTTATGCATATCGCAGATTGCGGCGGTCGGGAAAAGTCAACTCTTGGCGAAATCTGGCATTCGAGTGGGACGGCGGGTCGGGGGGAAACGGGATACAGCTGGATATTTAACCCGGGATTATGGCGGCTCGTTTGGTAAAACATTCGCGAAAGTTAAGCGCTTTTCTCGGGCCGCCGACGCCGGGTCTGTTTTAGGTAGAGCCGGGGTCGCAGAGATAATTCTTATCTGGGACTGTCTAGGCTGTTCAAACGCAGTTAAGGGAGTCAGTTCTGATTTCTCGAACCTCGACACGTGCTGCCAGCCAACTTCACCGTTACGTGAAAATTCTCACCGCTTGGGAATCGAACGGAGCTCGATCGAAGCCCATATATTTTTGGTGGATTTAGGAGCCCCCCCCAGAAACCCTTAATAACAATAAAATGCACGAATAGCATAACATAAAATCGTAAACGAAACATTAATCAGATCGATGAGAATTATCTCTGAAGGGTTTATATTTTTAAATTCTATTATTCTCTACGTAACGTCTATCAATTTGTATTAATGAATTCGTCAACATTTTGCACCGTCTACCCAGCGAATATTCGAACTTAATTCTAAACAGTGTATTGCGTTCGCAATGGTCTGGCATTGTATACAGATGGTCAACACCAGCATAAGTGGGTACGTGGTACATATTAGAGAGATTAGTTTACGCTCACAGAGAAAACAGAAATTATTCAAACATCAGTATTCCGTGAATTGTTGTCGCAAACAACCGTGGTTTTACTTACAGAAAATTCATGCGTGAAACGTAGTGGTTCGTTCGAAGATTAGAATATTGCAAAAATTGTTAGAATATTCGTTTACCATTTTTCATTCCCAGTAGTAGTTTTATCATCTAGGAGAACTATCTCACAAAAAAAATTCATAGAAATTTTCGTAATATTTCTACTTCGACGTTTCAAATACAAAACTTGTTATTTCAATTTTTCTGGAAACGTATTCATTGAAATAAGTAAATTGGAATTGTTTAAAATTATTTGAAACAAGAATAGATGAATTGAAAACAAGTACAATAGAGCAAATGATAATGAGAGATGCGATTCTTCGTAGCGACTGTATAAGTCAATTTGTACGTAAATAATTGCCCCGGCGGATCTGCGAGTTAGTTATCTGTTTAGTTAGGTTACACAAAGGATAGGTCTTGCAGTGGCTACGCGCCCGCTAGAATCAGCTGGCTTGGTACCACGTCTAAGATTATGTTTGTACACTCTGTCAGCGGAGAATCATCATTTTCGGCGATACAGTGCAAACTAGGGGTAGTAATATTTATGGTAAGGGTAAAACTTCCTTATCAAGAATTTTAGATCCTTCCCTATACACTGTTATTAACATAATTATTCTTGCAATTATTTCTCTCCAAAAAATATTTAAAACAATTATAACGCGCTGTGTTTTAATTATATGGGAAGACTTTCAGCATTTTTGCAGATTTAGATTCAAATTCGACAAACATCATTTGAAAATCCCATTAACGTGTAAATCGAGAAGCTGTTGAAATTCATAGATTACGGGACGGGACGATATTTCACGTAATAGGCAACGAAATTAATAGCTAAGCTTCTTCCTGTTCGATATCTCGGCACGATAAAAGTGTATCCTGGAATGAATTCCGCGGAGCCGTATTCAGAGCGACGCGGAAATGCCTCTTCAGTTCCCCTCGTCTGGGACTCGAAGAAAGGATATTTCGCTGACACAACGGCTCAACTATTCTGATCACTCGAACGCATCCATTATCCACCTTAGTGCTATCTACCGCGATACAGAAACGCGCCGCAAAGGGACGAAATTAATAACTGTTTACAGACACGTTTAGCCCCCTTGTAACGATACACTTTATTAATTTGCGCCCGCTATTAGGAACAAGACAGATTTCCACTTTATCGCGATTTCGCGTTACATGCACGACAAGGGCTTTCATTTTTATGATGGATGATCCTGTTTCTGCCTTCGTTTAACATTTTCTGGGAACCGCTTCCCGTAATATGTAGTTTCAGATTTCAACGAAGCAAATGTATTTATATTTTAATGGAATTAATTTCTTGAAACTTCTATTGTGATAATCGATCGAATTCTCAGAAATATTCGCGAGAGAAAATTTATAAAAATATTCTCACGTTCAATTTTCTATGTTTTTAGACGTCAACATGGTGGCTGAGCCCAAACCTCATCAAACGGGACGCAAACGGCAGAACGTTACCAAAACTGGCAACGATTGGTGAGTTCATTCACAATTAATGCAATTTAATCGTTTCGTAGCGCTCAATTCAAAAAAATTCTATTCAAGTATAACGTATGTAACTGTGCACGAGGAGCATTCATTATTTTTATAATTTCTTGATGACTTCTAAAATTTTTATAAAATAGATGTATTCGTCGTCAAATTTGTTGCAACGCTCTTCTTTTTACAATTTTGTAACAAAATTTTTCGCGTCCTTCCATTTCCACGAATTCCAGGACCAAAATTATTAAATATTAAGCACGCGAAAAATACTAATTTTTCCACCCACGTTATTAGGACATTTTTCCTTGATTCTGCGAGTACTGTATTGAAATTCGAAAATTCTATTCTCTATGGGAGTCGATTGTGTTGACGTTCGATCTAATCGATGAAAAAATTGCGTTTTTCTCCTGAAATCTTTATTATCGCGTGGGACTTGGCATCTGGCCCGAAACTCACGGATCACATCTTCGGACGGGAAAGTTGGTCGCAAGTTGCGTGTAAATCTTCGCTCGTAGACGGAGATGTCGCGTTTTATTCGACGGACCGCCGTTTTATCCTGTCTAGGTAACCGGCTGAACGAGGGAATCGCCTTAAGAACAGCGCCAAACAAATGCTAAACTCAATATAACTGGCTACGGCGTTGAGCTTCCCGACAGCCGACGTGCTGAAAACGTGTTTTACGCGACGTACGTGACCATGAAATTGCCAGGCCCTTCGGAGAACCACGGGACTCTCAAACCAGAGACGAAACAACGATAATCGCGTGATAATCCACCCTCGTATGCGATTGTTTAGCATTCGTGATGACTTAGCTGATGTAAACTCGAGCGTATATTCGAAACGAAGGGTCGTCGAAATTAAAAATTGGAAAAGAATACAATTTCTATGCTTTCAATATTTATCGTATGGTTACCATTATGTGTTATTTAGTTACTCGCTATGAAAGATGAATGCAGAATGTATGTTGAATTATTATCTTTTATTATATTTGTTTGCGCGTAAAATTTTTGCTCCTGATGGTAGTTAAAACCGTTGTTCGTTGCTCGAAGGCTATCGTTGTTAGGTGACAGAATTCCGGAGGTTTCTGTAGGGAAAACCGAGACATTTCGTATCGCGTCATCTGGTTTCACGATCTGTCGTCCGAAGAAAACAAGGCAACTAACTCTGACAACTGTTAAAGTCCACAAGTAAAGCGGACCGAAACAACGATTGTTCAGAGGGACAGTGTTTCGGTGGCTGGGCGAGACACGATGCCTTCCCAGCGGCGAGATAGTCGCTAATATAAAACTGCAGTAAAGCGAGATTGTTAAAAATTTAACGATTCCACGGTTTTTTCGCTGAAATATTTTCGGCTGGAAAATGAATTTTCCCGGCAGCCCGCGGCGCTTGAAATTGCGACGGTGCCTCTGTGCAGTAAAATGCGATCTTTTGACGACTTGTCGTTAGTTTAATTTTCGATCAGTCTCAAAGAACGACATTATTTCTCTAAAGTGTAAATCAATTTTTTCGAAGGGCGAACATTTTCTTTTTAATTAGACAATTTGAAAAATTGTTTTAGTTTCCTATTAAGAACACTATATTTATAAAAATAAATATCGAAATTTGAACGTGCTCTCAACAGGAAATATAATTTTTCGAAGGGCGAACATTTTTTTTTAATTGGACAATTTGAAAAATTGTTTTAGTTTCCTATTAAGTACACTATATTTACAAAAATAAATATCAAAATTTGAACAGGAAATATAATTATTTAAAGAACTTTATTCACTTTCCAATTGACATTAATTATTATATTAATGGGGTTTTAAAGTTTTGAATCTATGTAATATTCGACCGTACGTATCGGGCAGTATTAAAATCTATATATACGAGAGTGCATAAAAAATGGTGATGACCCGGCGCAGGGGGAAACCCGGAAATTATCGACATTTTAAATATTTCGCGAGCCACGCGAAATTTTCAATTCCGAGGGGTTCCTGATACCAAGTTGCGCGACGCATTAACGCGGATAGGAAAACTGAATAATTATAGGTCCCATTGGAATCTGTCTAAATAATAAAAACACTTACTTATTCGATTCATTTACGGGAATCGTTTTAAACGTTTCTACCCTTCGACATTTAAATTGGATTATGAATTTTTAACCACTTCAAGATTTTCAAACGGCGGTACACCCATAGCAATTTCACTATTCGTAGCTTTCGAAAAATATTTATTAAATTTGTCAGCATCGAAAAGGAAGGTGAGTAGTGTTTATTTTAGTTTCGAATAGAAATATAGAGAAATTGGCATAGTGATAATGTTTGTTAATTCTTTTTGAAGGGACGTAGGCCAAATGGTGGTAAATAAATCTCGCGGATAGAATAATAGGGAGCAGAAACGAAATCTCGTTCATTCGCCTTTCCCTCCAGCGATGAAAATAATTGCTTGTTCACGCAGTAGCTGTCCTCTTCATCAGACGCACGTGCCCATTGTCCGTCAGACGTATTCGCGAAATTGTCGGCTTTAGAACGTCACGTCATTTAGCGTCGAGGCATCTTGGGACAGGGCGAAGTTGTCTGGCTAACACACAACGCTTGAACCATTCTGTCCGTCACGTTACAGAAAGATGGCCGCGAAATATTTGAAGGAAGACACGTGGAAAACGAACCAGACCGAGGTCCGTCCGCGTTACGACTCTTTCCGTAATCTTTCGTTTCGAAAAAGCACGCTGTCAACGTGAAAACTTAATCGCCTTTCCCATCTGATCCGTATTTTTATTAAATAGATAGACCGTACATGAGATGTTTCAGATCTATCTTAGAATTCTTAAAAATGATAATTTCTAATAAACATAGGCTTGCAAACTATTTAGCCTCTGAATAACTCTGTTTTGTAGCCAATATTTTTCTCAATCGTTTCTAAACCGCTCCCACCTCATTTTGGCTAAACTTACGTTTTAGATTTCTATTCCCGGTTCTAATTAATATCACCGTACGCGGGAGAATATTTTGTACATAAACAGGGAGTTTTACATATGCAGAGCAACTGAATTAAAACGATTTCGCGAACCAGCCGAGAATTTTAAACGAAGAGCATGCCGTTAATGTAGGAATAAGTAATTAGACACGTACAAACTTAACTAGACTTTTAACAAGTTCCTTTTAATTCTTTCTTTCAAACTGAGCTCGCCAGAAGCGGCCTTATATTTCTTTCCTCATAATTGCGATCGCTTTAAGGAGACGAGTAACAAAAACGAGGAAGAAATCGATTGCTTCATAAATCATAATATAATTCAAACACCACTATAATAATTGGAATAACATTTAATGTAAACTATTTGGCTGAACTTAAACTTTCTTCTCGAGTTGAACGATTTACTATCATTGTCAATAGAAATATATTTAACGTTCATATAAATGTGACAAAGTGATGGTGATGAATTAATGTCCATGGACAACGCGGTGGATAAAAATGGATGCTTGGACGTTTTGAAGAACAGTTTAGTAAAAAGTGCCACCAGCAGGGGGATTGTGAAAAGCTTTAAATTCTACCAGGGCAACGATCCACGCCATAAACTACGTACTGGGCAGAAATTATTGCGGTGCTGCTGCACAAATATTCTACAGAGACTCTGCCATCATCAGACCTAAATCCCATCAAAAATCTATGGCACGAATCGAACAGTAGAGTTTTTAAAACACCATCAATTCGACAGCAGAACTGAAAACATGTCTCAATGAACAAATGATCACTTAATAACGTTGAATATCGTATTAGCTTCAACTAGAAATTGGGATTATTCAATACGTAAATATTGGAAAAATATCAAATCTCAATGAAAGATATTTAAGACTTTTTTCGAATATTTTTGTAAGATGAAAATTGCTTGGAAAATTTAAAGGATCATTTGTAAAGTCATTAAATAAAACTAATTAATTCTGTTTGCAACCAACAAACAATATACATCTACTACTTAATATTTCATTAAAAATTCTCTGTAATTCAAACGAAGAATTTATCCAGTAAGCTTTATCGAATTACTGTCCTCGTAATTCGTTTCCAAGTAAACGAATAATAAAATCCACTCGTCCGAACGAGAACTCGAGTTTCTTGAATGGAAGGTTGCAAGTAGTAGGAATAATCAGTGAATCAGCACTGCGTGTATGCTTCCGCCCGATTATATAAACTGATTATCCCCCGTCGAATTCGTATGAATGGAGTTCCACTGTATGACGTATGCGTACCTGAGGGCTCCTTTAATCCCTACTCTTGCTCCTTTTCGAGTGGTAATGCGGTAAAATCTTGTTAATTGTTCGCTCGATAACTACCCGTTAAGAACGCCTAGTCGTTGCACACATTACTCGCGCTAATGCACCCTACGCGTCCTCTTGGTATCCTCGTCTGCCTCGTATCGCGGTGGGGCTCATGTATCCTAGAAAAGCCTACCTCCAGAGCCCCCTGGCACATTTATCAATATTTCGACACAATATTCTAATAACAAGAACAGTAGTTTACAGCTGCCTTATGGTCCACAGATAGTTGCTTGAATATACTCGATTATTTGGAGTCTCTATTAAAAATCAAAATTCGTTTAAATAGAAACGTGCTCGATTTCCATGCATGGGAATTACTTTTCTAATAGTTTACAATATATGCAATTTTTTTTATTTCACTCACTTGAAATCTTGAGTGAAGTATTGCAAGTTCGCGACAACAGAAAATTATTTAAAGAGAATGCTAGGCGAAAGGTTAACACTAGAACTACCAAACCAGTCAAAATGACCCATTCGTAATTTCTAATAAAACCTGTAAAAAATTTACTCGACTGAATTTTTGGAAATTATTAAATTATTATAATCTATAAGAGAATGAATAAATACTTATTTCCTTAATAAACACACTATAATTGTTGGTAGTTCTAGTGTTAAAAGCATCTGGACTACAGAATAGATCAGCTACTTTCCATACATAGAAATTTCTTCCCTAATACATTATAACACATATAATTCCCT